CATTAGTCTCTTCATAAAAGAGTTCTGTGTTATTTGCATGCTAACGTTTAGGTTTGGATGCGTTTTAAATGCTTTTGTAATACTTGGCATGATGTTTTGTATTCAGATTCACTAATTCAGTATGTAGAACTGGTGTATGGTCGGTGTCTCATTTTGAGCTGCTCAGTTGTGCATCTGTCTAAGGTTTGGTTCTATTATCAGTAGACTGACAGTTCAAATCCTGGTGGTGCTGCAATCTAAAAAAAAAAGGTACTGATTTGCAATGTAATTGGCCAACCAATGTATTGGTTGAGCCCTAATGATTATGTAATATGATCAGAAAAATCAGCAAAAAATCAATAGAAATCAACAAAAGCAAAAACATTGAGAATTCTGGGAAGCTCTGCCCCCACACCGCAATATTTAGATTATTTTAGACTATTTTAGACTGTTTATTTGAGATTGAGAAATGTAAATGCACTTTTTAACTAGAAATGTAGAGCACATTTTAACCAGCATTGAACATATTGCAGTTATTATATTAAATCAGCAGATATTAATCATATATTAATATTATTAATACATAAATTAATCAGATATTAAGCAGATATTGTCAAAATGTTTTGGTTCCTTAAAATTGCTATGCTGTCGTGAATACCTGTTGATGTTCCTGTTGATGAGACCGTTTATTTGAGATGATACATGTCTTCAGAGGTTAGATTTAATCTTTATAAATTTAGGGCTGGTTTCTTAGACAGGGATTATGCCTAGTTCAGGACTATATTTCCCTTTCAGTGGAGAGTCTCTATTAACAGTACAACCTAGTCAAGGACTAGGCTTTATCCCTCTGCAGGAAACTGACCCTCAGTGTTCACTAGTATCTTTGTGTACACAGCAGTAATGTCCACTAGTTCCTCTGTGATAGTTTAAGTAGTGCCTCGCCTCGACTTCAGTCTAGTGGTTTGGGGAAGTGTTCGCTTTCGCAGCATACATTTCCTGTCTTTATGAGCTTCGTCATGCAGTGTAAGACAAGGCTGGCTGTGGCATGCTGATTTGGGTTTATGTGCTCGTTACTGGGTGGAATGGAGCAGCATGCGGCCGTGAGCAAGAGCGCTGGCTGTATCATTAGAGTGAGTGCGGAGACACCCCAGTCACTGACTCACTCTCTGTCATCTGTCCTCGTGGTAACCTTTCACCTTTTGCTGTGGCAACAGAACACTGAAAAAAAAAGAACGAGTTAGTTTGTGGAGCATCTTGAATGCAGGACTATTTAGGACACTCATCGCTTTTCAGGACACATACAAGATGGCAGCAAAAATGACCTTTGACCTTTGCCATATTAAACAATATTTAAACAACCACAGGCGGTTTCTGTGGGTTAAACTACTAGTTTAAGGGCCACTGCACTTATCTAATGTTATCATATGAGATAACAAAAGCATAGAAAGGAAAATTAAATATAATAACTGGAATAGGGCTGGGCGATGAAACGATAACGATGATTATCGCGATATAACTTTTCCTCGATAGAGCGATACGACATGTTCGATATAATACACCACTCTCACACTCCCACGTTCAGCGAAAGCCTTGGTGGCATTTTTTATGGCAAGGAAAGCGACACTACTCTGCTGTCGCCAGGAGAGGGCGCACTTCCGAGTTTTTCTACATGATTAGAGAGGGAGGGGGCGACGAGGAAGATGAGTCTTTAGCAACGGCTGAAACGCGGAGTTATACATTCCCTGTTTGAGCGGAGCGACCGGTGATCTGCTCTCCTGTGACCGAGTCTGAGTGACGAGGTCAGTGGAGTAACTATACTGTCCTACAGCGAACTCACCTCCTTCCTAACATCCTAACCAGCTTAAGCAGCGTTAAATCACAACCCTCACAACTACAGCGCTGTTACAGCGCTCGGACAGTCATAATTTAGTATGAGTGCATTCCCAAGCAACGAAAGTGAAAGAAAGAAGTGAGTTCATGTAAATTACAGCCCTGATTTAAACGAAAGTAAACCGAGGAAGCTGTGAGGCATTGGAGAGCGGGAGAGCGCTATCTTTCCAGGCTAGCTGTTTTTAGCAGCTGGCTAACTAGAAGCAGCGCTTCATCACTCGCACAACACGGAGAACTGATGATACTGTGGATCAAACAAGACACAAAACACCGCTTTCCGTTTAAACGTACCTAAAAGGAGGACTGTCTGGTGTTGATATTTTGCGGTTCACCACTTAAACTACTACGATAGTATAGAGAAATCCAGTCGTCGCTAGCTGGTGTCTGAATACTGTGATGTCATTTGTAACGGAGTAGCCGAGCGCTCGTCACCAGCTAAAAATAATCTGTTTTGTTTCTTAAATTATGACTATTACAAAATAGCCATGCTTTTCCAGCTGGTAAAAACAGCTCACCAGACACGTTCTCCCACTCTCCTGTGACAGATTTGTGAAATGTTCACCTGTTTGAGGGTTTGTCATGTTCTGAACATAAAGCATAGTTTAAAACAGCAATTAACACCCCAGGAGCAAAAATCAGCCTTCAACCTTGAAAGAAATAATGTTTTGACATTTATCGCGATATGTATCGATATCGAACGATATGAATTTTGTTTGTCGTGATAACATTTTTGGCCATATCGCCCAGCTCTAAACTGGAAGCAATAATCAATAATGATGACATGGCAAAGAAGGTCATATTAGTTTGAAATACAGGATGTTTGTATAACCAAAGAGTTTATATACTGTCAATTGTTTCGCTTGTTTTCCAGTGAAACAGTCTTCGAGGAGTGATGAATGTTTGCCTTCTGAACTGAAAATACTTTTGCAGTGCGCTTTAGACCTCGTTGTTTTATAACAAGCATTTTTTTCAAGTTCTAGTTGAATATTATATGTTTCCGTAACAAGTCTTATCATAGCTTTTGCCTAGTACCTGCTGTGATAAGTGTATGACACTCAAAAGGTCCTTTCAGTCATGCATACATGCAGTGTCTGACAGGTAGCACAGAATCGTTTTCCTTGATTTTCAAATCTGACTGATCAAGCAAGACAGATTTGGATTTCATGCCCTTTCTACCATTGTATAAAGATATGGGTTAGCATGATAACGTCGCAGGTTGCCACAGTCCTTGCTGATTTGGAAGTATTCTCACAGTTCTGCATTGGTTATTGACACTATTGAAGCAGTTGCTTTCCTCTCTGCTGTAATGACACAGTTGATTTAAGGTGGTCCTTCATTGCTCTCCGGATGCATTAGTGTTTACACTACCCATGTTTTGTGGTCAGATGCCTCTTTGGCCACATAACCAATAACAGGTGTGAACGGGGCCTAAGTACCAATACCATTCTGTCATAGTTGTGAACTGCACAGATTGGCAAATTGGCAAGATTTTGGTGTGCAGTTTATATAATGCTGATTGTGAAGATGAGGTGTCGCAAGTTGTTAGCAGCATAAGCTTTACAGCACTGCTGCCATACTAAAGGAGCGAAGCGTGAGTCCAGACTTTTTGTGGTTAATGCGCCATTCTTGAGGTAAGTGTTAAGAAAGTGTTTAAAAACTGTGTTTTAGCTCTGTACTGAAGTGAAAGTCCGTGGCATTCAGGACACACTGTGCCAAAATCTGGAACAGAAAGAAAGCTGACAAAAGGTAAAAACAGTTACATAAACTTTGTAAAATAATTACAGTATGTAAGCTATAGTGTGTTCCACCAACATCCTCAACAACAGAGAATGGTTATTCAAGACGATTAATTCCATAATTTTTAGTTATACTTTGCTCTTTGGCACAGTCATTTGTGAATTTTTCATCATGGCTACAAATGGCATTGATGTGCTAGCAGGGACTTTCCTTTCTGTTTCTCGTTTTGCTGTATTCTGCATTTTGAGTGTCATATTTTCAAATGGTATCAAATCTGTAGTGGAGCAGTTCTTGGTTGTTGTGTTCCCTCTTGATTCTTGGCATGAACAGAAATATGAATCGTCTGTGTAATGTCCCTAGAAACTGTAAAATGTGGCCTAAATATTGAATGTGTCTGCACTGACTGGCACAGGAGAGTAAAAGAAAGAAGCAATGATTTAATAACTATTTCTCAGTGTTAATACCATTTAAAATTATGTCTTAGATTTCAGTACTTCGTTGTAGGCCTGTTTAATCTTAGTTTTTTTTTTACTCTTTTAGTTGAAAACTGAATATGCTTTTTTGAACATTTTCATCCAAAATGATCAGTGGTCAAAAATTTGGTGCGTCCCTAATTATCTCTCTCTCATAGTACCAGTATCATACCACCCGCTAGCAAGGTTTCCCCCACTGTCACACAATGCTACCAAGCTACCAAACTGTCAGGGTAAAGGCTACCATCCTACCAACTTGGGGAGAGAAAGAGAGGATAGTTATGCTGTCCTGGTTACGCATGATCACCAGGGATAAACCTCTCATTCTACCAGTGATGGGGCCAAAGCTATTGGGCCATACTTGATGCAGTTGTTAAACATTGTTTCTGAGTCATTTAGGTATAATCTTTACAATTTCTTATCATTAGACTGCAGATCACAGGCTTCTTCTCAGCTAGTTTGCACGTGTGTGTGTGTGTGTGTGTGTGTGTGTGTGTGTGACTGTGCTCATTAGGGAGAGCAGGAGTGTGGAAGGCCATCCATATGTTGAGGCCAGGCAGGCAGGAGTGCTAACGCAGCGATGTTCCTTAACGACACAGTCAGCAGCGAGGGGAACAAGCCCCTGCCTGCCTGACTAACTCTTACTGCTTTTCCACTCTTTATCTCTTCATCCTTCTCTCTCTCTCTCTCTCTCTCTCTCTCGCTCTCTCTGACATAAACAGTAAACATATCTAACATTCCATCTTTTCATCACTGTGTTCTGCAATGGCTGTGTTGCATTCTGAGTATAGTACACTGTTTTATGATGAACTTTTGCCTCCAGAACATCAGAAGTAGATTCCAAAGTTTCAGGATAGACAGACCTGCTCATTTTGTCCTTGTTTTGACTTTCTATTCTTTCCTCTCTTCTCTTTCATGCAGATCATCAGAAACTGGAACGAGAGGCCCGGATCTGTCGTCTTCTCAAACACCCCAATATTGGTGAGTATGTTTTACTTTGACAACTGCTTGACTATGCTTTTTGTTCGTTAGCGTTTGAGTTTACACCTCTATGCGTTTATGTTGGAGCCAGGGCTTACTGTGAGCGAACTGGGCCAGAGGCCTTTCTCCAGAATGCTGTTTTGTGTGCCAAGCATGAATCGAGCGCCCAGCACATGCATTGTTTCGGTGAGAAAGAAATAAAAGAAGCCGATATGAGAGATGCATAAAGAAAGTGACAAAAAGCTCTATAATAAGGCCTATAAATAGCGTGCTGAGGTGGGTAGCGGGTAGGAGCCAGAGGGGGCGCTCGGTGTGGGAGGCTTCAGCGTTTGCACACAGTAATTATCACCAGCAAGGCCAGGAACACATGAGCGCTGAAAAGAGGAGTGCAGGAGGAGCCCATGAGAAAATGGTTGGGATGAGATAATGAAGGCAAAAGAATGGAAGAGGATAAAAGAAGCAGCACCTGGACTAACCACCTGCTTACGTGTTATGTCTCTGTGTAAGGTCAGTTTAAAAGGATAGTTCAGCTTTTTGGCAGTGAATCCCTTTTTTTGACCCAGTATCAGTTGAATTTACCAGTGTAATCTTTCGTCACTGAAAGGAGAAAATATATGAAGATGGTGTCACAGCTGCTTAGCTTAACTTAGTGTTCAGAACAGCTGGCTAAATCTCTCCAGAGAAATAAGCCTTCAGCATAGTTTGTATATTTGTATGTCTCTGTTACATGCAGGCTATGCATGAAATTAGTTTTTTATTGTTTTGGAAGCATTTGGAATTACTTGAAGGACTTCAAAATAGGGCTGCACAACATCATTTTGAATCATTTGATGTGATACAGGCCTTTGCGTTACTGATCTTGCAGAAGGCTGCGATATGCTAAAGAGCCCTCTAACCAGTCACAGTGTTTTTTTACTGTGTGCTGTGAGCATCCTGACCAATCACAGTTCCAGATGAGTGTTTCTGTGAGTGTTTTAAATAATCTAGGCACTCACAGTTATGCGATACTCTTATTGTGTCCATATCGTGCAGCCATACGTCGGAAATCAGAACTGAGGCTGGATTCTGTCTGTAAAATTCAGCACCTAATTCTGTTGAAGGTCATGCTCCATGACGCCCTAAAACAGTCCCTAAAACACGTAATCAGAAAACCTGACATATCTGCCAATGCCAGGCTTAGCTCTGCCTTATCCTCTCTTTCTCCTCTCTCAATCTGCTCTTCCTCTTTTTACTCTTTCTCATTTTATTCAGAGGCCTGTGCTCCATACGGTTCTCCTCTCCCTCAGGCCGTACCTCCTGCTCTCTCGTCCTTTTGCTGTTTCTTCCCTCTTGCTCCCTATTTCTTTTCCTCTCTCTCTCTTTTGCTTCCTTGCTTTTCTCCTCGGCTCACCTCCCTTTCAGAGGGACAGCTTGTCATGTTTTCTGCTTGGGCTGCAGATAAATGCTGAACAAAGGGAGCAATGGAGGAAGAGAAAGCAAGGGAACGAGGGAGAGAAAAAAGAATAGAGAGGCCAGAGCGCTGCTGGGCTAAACACTGCCTCTTGCACTCTCTCTCTCGCACTCTTGCTCTCTCGCTCTCTCGCTCTCGCTCTCACTCTCTATCTCCCTCCAAAGTACAATTTTATAAGAGCAATTTAAAATGCAATTAATCAGTAATCCTGGATAATAAGTTGTACTCTATGTGCACAAATAAAAATAGAGCATAAAACAAAAAATTATCTATATATGTATGTATGCTGAGAAGCCGTGCTGTGACCTGTTACCTCATTTACAGAGGGATTCTGTGTGAAACAAATAGCAAAACAAGTAAGACGGGTAAAGCATAAAGCAAGGAGGTAAAATGGTAGTTCCACATAAACACACCATAAAAATATATATTTTAATATAGGGAACCTTAGTATATGGAAAAACAAGCAATCAGAAATCAGTAAAATATATAAAAATAACAAAGATCAAGATTAGAAAAACATAAAAATCCAGCAACATTTTTTACCTAAATGGCACTAGACTGTCAAGTTTCATGTTCTAAATTTCATTTCACTGCTAGAGGGCTAAACAAAGCAAAGGCTAATTTACTACAGCAAGTTGTGGTGGTGTAGGCCTTTAAGGTTTTGCCAGTCATTAAAGTCAGTGCCATATGAAATAGTTCTGATGTCTAGTTGAGTTGAGTATGTAGGCCTACCCCTCGAATGAGCCTTGTAGATAAATCAAAGGAGAACAGTTGTCTATGGATGGCTAAAGAAGGCCAGCCCATTTTCCTATAAAGAATGATTGTGTGAGAAAACTAATTTGGAGACGCGAGGATGAGGAAATGAGAAGTAAGAGCATATACATCTAATCTAAATATACATTTATAATATTTTGACTGGACAATAATAATTAGCAGTCGATGGTGATACACTATGTTTTTTCTTTCCCTTTCTTGCTCTCTTCTGTTCTTTAGAGGCTTTCTGAGCTCAAGAACCCATAAAAGATTTAAAGATGGTTTTAATGGCTCTCTTACTTGTATGATCCTGGCATGGATGTCCACTCGCCAGTCTCTCCAGTGACAACAGGACAACAGTAGATGTGATTGTTGAGTTTTATCAGTGCTTTATTGTTAAAGTGCCTCATGCTGACAGTGTAAATGTGGATATGGTTTTGACACACCTCAGACAGATCTTAATCTCTGCTCTGTCATTCAGCAGTTTCTCCTTCGCTCTCCCTCGCTCCTGCTCCCTCCTGCTCTCTGTAGATGCGTTCTCTCAGGGCTCTCTGAAGGCTCCTGCTATTCTGGGCACTGTTTACTCAAGTTTTTCTCTTTCTGTCCCTCCCCTCGCTCTCTTTCCCTTTTCATATCTCTCTGCATGTCTGTCTCTTCTTTTCATCTCTCCCTCTCTTTCTCTTGTTCTCTCTCTCTCTTTCTTTTTACTTCATGCTTTTTTTGTTCACCCTCATTGTTTCCTCTTTCTTTAGACTCTCAGCTATCCCCCTCTCTGTATCCCACTGTTCTCTTATACTCAGTGTGTGGCACTGTCTACGTGACGTGTTGTGTCACACACACACACACACACACACACACACGCACGCGCGCACAGAAGTGCACTCGCTTTCCAGCCAGTGAACGGCCTCTGTCTACATAATGATGTTATGTCAGAGTGGGTTGATTTATTTGACATCTTATGAAAGCTGCTTGTAATTAGCTGTGACTGAGAGATTCTGATCTGCATGTGTTTACTTCAGTTGCATTACTTAATATTAATCTCTCTTCTTTATTGTTCTCCTCAGTCCGACTCCATGACAGTATTGCAGAGGAAGGTTTTCATTATCTGGTCTTTGACCTGTGAGTATGACTGGAATACACACATATACGCATACGCATACGCATACGCACACGCACACGCACACACACACACACACACACACACACACACACACAGACAGACAGATAATTGAGGGTCCGCATACATCAGTGCTGTAAAATAATTGTGAAATTGCCAATTCTGTCTGCTGGTCCTGCTGAAAATCTATTTTATGATCGCAATAAGCTTGAAAAGCCATATATTGATCTTCCAGTGTTTATGCAGGGCATAACAAAAATATGATTATCATTGTAATTTCTACGCAGAATGATACAATAGCCAATAATTAAGACCTTATTATCGCCAAGACCAGTAATTGATAATTTTAAGTCTTATAAAGTAACCATAAATTTAAGTTGTTTAAAGTAACTATAATCCATACATGAAGTGCTGTGTGTGAAGGTAAAATGTTTATGTAAAAGAAAGGTTAAGGATTGATCACTGGAGTTCCATTGCTTTTGCCCAAATGTCTGCATAATTAAGAAGAAAAAGAAGTCGTTTAGAGTGATTTGTGAACAAACACTGAAAACACGTGTTCTTAGTGTTTAAGTGTGTGTGTGTGTGTGCATGTATGTATGTGTGTGTGTGTGTATATGTATATATGTATATATGTATATATATATATATATGTTGATAATGGTTAAATAGTGGTAAATCTGAACATTTTTTTGGGGTGACTGTTTTCTTACACACTGCATGTACCTCATGAATGTATTTTAAAAATATGTTGTAGGCCAAAACCTTCTCAAAACTATTGTACAACAGTGTCCAACAGTGTATTCATAACCATTTGATATAATAACTTTCTGAGAGTGAGATTTTACAGGCATTAAAATCTTCAGATGCCTAGTTCCCATCACCACCACATTTATCATCACACCACTGTGAATGACTTTCTTTACGTCTTTATGGTTTGATTATGCAGAAATTCTGAAAAGTTGGCGGAATTTCCCTTTAATGTCACTTAGCCATGACACAGCTAAATCAAACATGATGGTCTACATTATTATGTGTAAATATTGTACTTTATTCAGAAGACTTCCTGTACTATGTACGATGGTGAGGACATTTCTGGGTTTAACCATGCCATTCCTGCCTGGACGGGGAATCAAACACTAGTGACGGCATTATCAGCTATACTCTCAGTTTTAATGAGCTCAAAAGAATACTGCTGACATGCTTCAGTGTGTGTGCAAAATTTGGCACTAAATTACTGGTTGTAGTCAGCAGTAAATCCAGTATCAAACTGATAATATTGAAATGTTGTAATTTATCGGTAATAAATCAGTTGAAGATGTATTGTGCAATTGGTAATTTTGCAGTAAAAGAGTTCAACACTAGTATGATCCAGAGGTGCACCTGTCTGACTTTTGTCTCAATACTGATTCCGATACGTGAACTCAGGGTATCATCCAATACAGAATACCGCTATTTTTCTTTTTTTTTGTTCTTGAAATTGAAAGTCTCATAATAATGTACTGTTACAATTAAAACATGCTATTTATCTATTTTATAAAGTTTTGGTAAGGATTAGTTAAGACATTTAAAAATGAGGCACAGTGTGCTAGGTCATGCTTTGTTAAGAGAGGCTTTTACTTTGACATGCTGCAGTGCTTTGAAGAAAGACATATGGTGCATTTCACATTTGCAAACAAAATAGTCTTTATCTCTGTAAACAGTTTCCTTGTAATATGATCAGTCGTAAAGATTAGCTGCAAGTAAAGCATTCAGTTTAATTCCATTAATAAAAACACAAAGTGAGAATTCAGTGTCTATCGCGTTTTGGAATGACACACTTTCATTTTATAGCAACTGTGTCTGATGGTGTTTTCCCTGGGCAGTGCAGTACAGTATAGTTACAAATATGTGACGATGTATGTTGTCGTCATTTCCACTGCCAAGGATACTGTACTGTACCTGAGAACCCATGGTAAATTTGGTTACCTTTCACATTGGGGTATCAAGCGTGCAGAGCCAGAGTGTATTGGTGGAGCTAGTGATGGTGCAAACCACTGATTGGTCAAACAGTCATCCCAAAATCATCATGTGGTCTTGCTGGAATCAGATGACTCCATTTATAAACAAACAAGCAAACCAACCAACTAACTGCTAGCTATCCAAAAGTGCGGTCTGTGAACTCACGTAAAACCAAATTGCAAGTACAACCCCATTTCCCAAAAAGTTGGGATGCTGTGCAGAATGTAAATAAAACTACAGTGCAATTATATGCAAATCCTGTAAACCATATTTTTAAAGGAAATACTACAGACAGCATATCAAATGTTGAAACTGAGAATTTTTTGTTTTTTGAAAAATATATGCCCATTTTAAATTTGATTCCAAGAACATGTTCCAAAAAAGGTGGGACGGGGGCATGTTTACCACTGTGTTTCATCACCTCTTCTTTTAACAAACTCTGTAAATGTTTGGGAACTAAGGAGACCAATTGTTGTAGTGAAATGCTTTCCCATTTTTGTTTGATATAGGATTTCAGCTGCCCAACAGTTCGGGGACTCCTTTGTCATATTTTTCATTTCATAATGCGCCAGATGTTTTCAGTGGTGGCAGGTCTGGATTGCAGGCAGGCCAGTTTAGCCAGTCCAGTTTTAATACCTGGAGAATGTGGTTTGGCATTGTCTTGCTAACACAAACAAGGCCTTCCCTGAAAAAGACGTCGTCTGGATGGCAGCATATGTTGCCAAAACATGTATATATTGTTCAGCGTTAATGGAGCCTTCACAGATGTTCACGTCACCCATGCTATGTGCACTAATGCCCCCCCATGCCATCATGAATACTGGCTTTTGAACTGTGCACTAATAACAAGCTGAGTGGTCTTTAGCTCGGAGGGCACAGTGTCCATGATTTCCAAAAAGAATTTCAACTGTTGATTTGTCAAACCACAGGACACTTTTCCACTTCACCTCAGGCCATTTTAAATGAGCTCAGGCCCAGAGAAGGTGGCAGCATTCCTGGATCCTGTTTATATTTGGTTTCTTCTTTTCATTTTAGAGTTTTAACTTGCATTTGTGGATCTAGCGATGAACTGTTTCACAGACAGTGTTTTTCAGAAGTGTTCCTGAGCCCATGCAGTGATTTTCACTACAGAATCATGTCTGTTTTTAATGCAGTGCTGCCCGAGATCCCAAAGATCATGGCCAGCAAATACTGGTTTTTGGCCTTGTCCATTGCATGCAGAGTTTTCTCCAGATTCTCTGAATCTTTTAATAATATGTACCGTAGATGATGAAAAGCAGATGTTTTTTTACGTTGAGAAATGTTTTTCTTGAATTGTTGCTCTATTTGCTCGCGCATTCTTTCACAGAGTGGTGAACCCCTCCTCGTCTTTGCTTCTGAAAGACTGGGATGCTTTTTTTTATACCCGATCATATTATGACCTGTTGCTAATTAACCACCAGGTGTTTTAGCATTGTACAACTTTACCAGCCTTTTGTTGGCCCTGTTACAACTTGTTTGAAACATGTTCTCGGCATCAAATTCAAAATGGGCATATATTTTCAAAAAACAATTTCTCAATTTCAACATTTGATATATTGTCTTTATACTATTTTCAATTAAATATAGGGTTTAAATGATCTGCACATCATTGCATTTTGTTTTTATTTACATTTTGCACAGCGTCCCAGCTTTCTTGGAAATGTGGTTGTAAAAGGTAAATCAGAAGCTTCTTCGTTGTTGCTGCTTTCACAGTTGTGTTTACTGTTAGTGCTGGATTTGTGTGAGAAATCATGTGACCCCTCAAATAAAAAGAACCCCACCTATTTTCATGGTTCTGTTGAGCTATGAGAAAAGGACACAGGTGCTCAAGCAGGTTATGGATAGTTCAGGGTTCGAATTTGTAACCATACCACACTGCCTGGTGTAAAAACGAAAAAGAATGGTCACGAAAAAGAATTGGTAGCAAATTGGTCACATCAGGCTCTACCTGTTCCTTCTAATAAGGCGTATCAGATCGGTCGTCGCTAGTATTGTCTGTTACAGACTGTGATGGTTGTTTTTTCAGTTAAATGAAGTGTACGCAACACATGCTACCACAAACCAGAACTATCTGCTGCATCATGACACGTGTGTGCATGTGCGTGAGAAAGAAAGTACTTATGGCTCCCCACTGCTGACCAAATCACACCAAAATCTGCTCTGCTGCAGTCTCTTTAACCATCTCTCTCCCTCTCCCCCTCTCTCTCTCTGCAGTGTGACTGGGGGGGAGCTGTTTGAAGACATCGTTGCCAGAGAGTATTACAGTGAGGCTGATGCGAGGTGGGCACTCCAATTTACTGTTGCCGTGGTTACTGCTCTGCAGCCTGCAGCAAGCGGGTCACACACACACACACACACACACACACACACACACACACACACACACATCCATGTGCACATTCTTCTATTTTAAAAGCAGAATTAGGGAGTAGGAGAGAGAAGGCAGTTTTAAGTGCAGTAAAATCAGAGTGCTCTTTAACGACGCTATTATGGCAGAGTTACCAGGATATTCCATCAACAGGTACTACGCACAAACACAAGCCTTTCTCATCTGCCTCCTCCCCTCTTCTCTTCTTTCTTCATTTCATCTCTTCTTTTTATTTCTTTTCAGTTCTCCTCTCTTCTTTCCTTCTCTCTGCCTCTCATACTCCTTATCTCTCGGCCTGCTCCTTCTTCGTTCCAACTCTTCTTTTTCCCCTTCAGTTCTGTTAGGCTGCTGTGTTTACTAACCCCCTGCGGTCTTCCAGTGGCAGCCGAGTCCTATTAAGGGTTCTACTGACTCATCATGCACACAACATGCTGATGGGCATTTGTGTGTATGTTTGTGAACCATAAACGCGAACGCATATGTGTTTGTCTAGCAGTGAATCTTGAGTGGTATCTGTTTTACATATATTATGCCTTGAGATGGTCCTGCTCATATTTGAAGAGTTACGTGCAGTATGGGTGTGCATTTGTGTGTCTTGGTGCGTCTGTGCATATGTGTGTTTCTTTGTGTCTTTGTTGGAGGCTGGCTTAAATGTTTAGTTACACATGAAGTACAGTTTTTTATCAGTGGGTTGGGGCTCATAAAGGCTTGAACTGAGTGGAAGTGCCAAGACTGTGTCTTCAGTAAGCAGCAGGCGGGTGTGAAGAGGCACTGCGGGTTTCGCCCACTGAATCAAAGCAGCAGGCCTGCAGCAGAAAGCAAGAAATCTTCCAACTTCCAACTGCCTGTTACTGCACTTACCTCAGCCTCTAATACTGGCTTTTATTCTGCGCTAGATTTACTTTTTTTGCGTTTTTCGAGTGGTGGAGTGTGTTTGTTTGAAATAAAGTAGTGCGTGCTTGTGACTCTGTGTTTGTGTGTGTATGTATGTGTGTGTAAGACTGAGCAAACAGGCTGTTTTTGAACACTGGGACGTTTGCTGTCTAGGGAATGGAATGTTGGTCTCCAAATTCAACCAAATTTGGGCAGAGAATTGTTAGCCTTTTCTATCATGAATAGATTCACATTCTGTTTTCTGGCTGCTTTAATATTTTCACATACCACTCCTTTTTCTTTTTCTTTCTCATTTATTTTTCTTTATCTCTGTATCTCTGTACTTCTGTATCTGTTTGTATATTTTTCATGCCTCCCTCCCTCCTTCTCTCTCCTTCCACTCTTCTCAGATGTCACTTCAATTCAATTTGCTTTATTGCTGTAACAAAGTTATCCATCTGTTTGGCAAAACTGTGGTCAACTGTAGACAAATAAACATCTGCTGTACAATATATTTTACCTCCAGCAATCGATGGCTGCCCTTTAGTAAGGTTCATCGAGGGAGGGATCAGCAGTAAATATCAGGTTACATTTTTCAGCTCTTCAGCTTTCAGTGAAGAAGCTGTTCAGTCTCCTTCACGTCTAATGTCACACAAAGTCTGGTTTCATTTTGACTTCGACAAAGCCTGTTGTGTTAAAATGGCCTACATGTTTTTCAAGAAATGTTCCATGCTCTTATGTGTAATTTTAGCTCCCACTCATTCTCTTTTTCTGTTTCCTGTCTCTCTTTCTCTCTTATATAGCCACTGCATCAATCAGATCCTGGAGAGTGTCAATCATATTCACCAGCATGACATTGTGCACAGAGACCTCAAGGTGAGCTAGCGCCTGTCGCCACGACAACCACACTTAACCACAGCTAGGCTGCCTCAGAGTGTGTCCATGGTGATGCCCTGCGTCACATTCGCTCACATGCGCGCACACACGCACACACAGACAGTATATGGTATGTATCTCACTCATGTGCTTTCAGTCAAAATGCAAAATGCTACTTTGTTAGTGATGTAAAAAATTTTTTTGTAATGTTCAGGATTTTTTTTTAAGCAACTCAGAACAATAGATAATAGATCAGCAGCAAAAAGAGAAAACACTCCTCTATTTGTCCTGCCATCCTCACTAAGCCTTTATAACCTCGTTGGGGGATGGAAATATTACAGTATTTATTGTCATTGTGATAAATTACGTCACATAATATCACAGTACGCTTTTCTAAACATTGTGGATAAATCAACTACGTGTTTCATATAGTTGTGAAACAAGTATTCACAGAATGCAAATAAGAATCACTGTATTCATATTTGTATTCATATTTATAGTTTTTTTTTCTATTACTGCATTCATAATTTATATCATGGTGATCACATATCATTCATTTTATCAGCTCATCTTACCATGTAGGTGCACTTTAGTTCTGTTCTTCAATGGTCAGGACTCCCACAGGACCTATTATTTGGGTGGTGGGTAATTCTCAGCACTGCAGTGACACTGATGTGGTGGTGGCGTGTTAATGTGTGTTGCACTAGTATAAATGGATCAGACACAGCAGTGCTGCTGGAGTTTTTAAACACCTCAGTGTCACTGCTGGACTGAGATTAGTCCACCAACCAAAAAATATCCAGCCAATAGTGTCTTGCGGGTAGTGTCCTGTGACCACTGATGAAGGACTAGAGGATGACCAACACAAACTGTGCAGCAACAGGTGAGCTGTTGTCTCTGACTTTACATCTACAAAGTGGGCCACCAAAGTAGATGTGTCTTATAGAGTGGTCAGTGAGTGGACAGAGTGTTTAAAAACACTATCATATTTGTACTCATATTCATAGTTTTTTTCTATTATGGAATTGTTGAAATAAATTAAGAATTCAATAATAAACATATTAATATGAATACAAATATGGATACAGTAAATTTTTATTTGCATACTGTGAATATTTGTTTAACAACTATATGAAACACACCTAGTGCACCTATGGTTGCACTTAGATGTTGTTTTTGTAGGTTACACCTGACATTTAAAATCTTTTTATAATGAAAAATAGTAAAAACAGGACTGAACAGTATAATATATAGATAAACCTAGTTTAGTGTACTACTTATTTTGTAGTGGAAAATTAAATATTGTGATGGCTCTGTGGTATTGTATTTTTTGATATTGCGGTATTATATTTTTGCCATTTCATCCACCCTCAGATAGAAATATAAACTGGAACTCTTATAGGTTAGTCAAGCCCGCAGGCACTTCAGTCGTCAGCGTTTTGGCTCTTGGCTCTGGAATGGTTCGGCAGCCCCAGCTGCAGTGGCACAGCGTGATTGTGCTGTGTCATTTAAACCTCTGGAGCCAGTGTACGCTACACTTCTAGCACAGAGAAGAATGTCAGCTCATGGTCATCTCTGCCTTGTGGCCAAAAAACAAAAATCTTCTGACCTTGCTCACCCACACAACTGTGTTATTGCAGTGCTTACGTCAGGTAAACACACACTGCCCATAACCAGTGTGTGTGAGCCCCATACTGAATGGCAGAGATGTGCCCTTCTGGTTGCTATGGTGATGGAAGGGATATGACAACTGTTGCTGATGTTGTCGCTCAGGGAGATGGGATTCGCTGCATATCCAAGAATTACTCATATGTAGTCATTAATACGACATGCTCATTAATGGAGTAGAATTATGAAATCCTTATGGAATGCATTCATAAAAATACATTTACTAGTGTTCTCATGAGCTGCGAATTGCAATTTTGTCCTTTTGCTTCCTTTTCATAAACTCCAGCCTATTACAAAGGTATGCAAGATCACTTATTATCAGTGGTGAAACAAAGCTAGGCCTTCAGTCAAATATCAAAACTAAGTCAAAAAACAAGAAAAAAAAAACCCTACCTCTGTTACAAAACAAATTTTGTCTGTGTGGAATTCTGTCATTCTAGTGTTAGTGCTAGGCTATTGATAACTCACATGACTATTTCTTTGCTGTTCTAGATTATACACAGACAAATGAAGCTAGTATTGACCTAAATTTTACCATGTGTAAAGCCTTGTATGTACCTCGTATGAAGCTCTAGCACAGCGCTGCTTTTTCATTTCTAACAACTGACTGAAAGGCATTGGTCAGCCTACCAGTTGTACTTGCTGTCAGTGATGTCTCTAGGACTTTCAGAAGGTTTGAATGAAATTGTTAAATACAATATTAGTTCCATGCATTACAAATCAAAATGTTTTGATTCCACTGTCACTTCTAATTAGTTTAGGTGTTAAAGGGGGTAAAAGCACCAGAAGCCCTAACCAATGGGAGAGCTGTATCTGCCTACCTAAAAAAAAAAACCTTGATTGGATGATTTTCAGTTGAGCCTTTCAGGAACTTAATCTATTTGTGTCCAACCAAAACTTAACAATGAAACAAGAGTGTTACTACAGTACTTCCAAAGTTTAAATTCAACCAGTGTAAAAATGAAATAAAAATTACAGACATGTATTTTTTTTATTTCACAGAAGTCATTAGGCCTTCTCTGAAGACCTAGAAGGCCCTGAGAGTTCCCCACTGCTTATTGCACATAGAATACATATTTAAGTGTGAATGGAGAGGTATTTAGCATGATAAAATTTGGTTATTTTTGAAGCATCCGCACTGTGTTATTTCTTACTTGGAAATTATTAATATTAAATTAGTAACAGTGGAAATCCATATTTGCAAGAAACCACGTAAAATTTTTAACAGACCCAAGTATGCAGCTTCTCTTGGACTGAGTTTGGCTCTGTCTATAAAACACAACACTGTTTGACTCTTGGCAGTGAAGTAAAGAGTGGTGGCATTAAGAGGCCCAGGTGATGACTGAGCTGTGATTCTCCTCCACCTTAAAGAGCCCTGTTTCTTTCGCTCTCTACTCTCTACATTTATTTTTTATGACTCTACGCTGCAGAATTTCCACCCACTCTAAGAGGGAGGGCATGAGGCAAGTAGCTCTGTTTATGACTACAAGCCCTTATTTTGCCTTGGGTAGGAATGTGAAGGATTTCCCCCAACATAGACATGCACAGCATTCCATACTTTTTCATCTGCCGGCAGGGTTACAGTCTCTCTGCAACTTTATCTCTGCATATTTCTCATTCATTCAGTCTAGTGATTATATCAATATGCTCTTCATAAATAAAACTGTGATACTCCAATTATCTGTACCTCTGACCCCTGAACTCTCCCCTGAGAATTATTTGAACTGTTTTTCTGGATCGCCTGGTCACTCCTACGCCACAGGCTCTCTCTCAACCACGCCTGTTGAAGGGTGTGATGAAGAGCTCAACTTTGGCACGGTTCTTTGAGCATTCCTTTGTGAGCAGTTTACTGCTTTTGTGTGTTTATTTTAAATACATATAATGAAAGGATAAAAATAGGTCACTGATGCTGATTTTAATGAGCAAAAAATTGGGTGATGTAATTTAATACAGTTTGTTAACTGTTAACTGGCAAATATCATGTCAGTTTTGAGTTGTTGTGTTTCTTAAACTCAAGCAGCAGAATCTCAGAACTCAAAGTATCATAGAGCTATGAGGGGGATTTTGTTCATTTTGTTCATGATTGTTAATCAGCTCTTACTTTTCTTATTCGACACAAATTCCCTTCAGAGTAATATTATTGGTATAGTGTTATCCTCATGGTAAAAGTTAGGGTTGGATGCATTTTACTAAATGAAACTGAGGGTTTTGGGTTCATATTCAGCAGTTTAGCCAGAATTGCTGTCATATACATGAGCAAGAGGGACTAACAGCTCAGCAGTCTCTTTAAAGACTGGCACATAAGTATCAAGCCCTTAGAAGTGAATGAATTTTTTCACAACCGAAATGTCTGTTACAATATAAAATAAGCACTGTGCTGGCGCGTTGTCTGTACTCATAAATCTGCTAGACCACCGTATTGGTCAATGCTAGCGGTCAACTTCTGTTTTGGTCAGGCCCTAATATGTACTTGATTTATGTTACTCTTCAATTTTAACAACTGTGAGTATCTGTCTGTTTCCTTGCAGCCTGAAAACCTGCTGTTGGCCAGTAAGATGAAGGGAGCAGCAGTGAAGCTGGCTGACTTTGGGCTGGCCATTGAGGTACAGGGAGACCAGCAAGCATGGTTTGGTAAGAGATGTGATGTTTTTCATTTTACATGCTCTCACATTCGTTCTGAAGTCTTTTTGTTACGTATTATGGTTTAATTTATATCCTAAATCTAATGTGCTTGGACACTGCTGAGTTTAAATGTATTGGGAAAAACACTGATGATTTCTTACGGGCCATGATAAAGATAGAAATAGGCGCCTTTAGGGGAAGTCAGAGCAAAAGTGAGCCCTTTTCACACTGGCAGAAAAGCTGGCTTCAAACAAGCTTTCACTGGATTTCAGGCCAACTCCTTCATGCTGTGAAAGCCGCTCCAGTTTAGGCAGAAAATCTAATCTCAACACACATACTGAATCAAACCTCTCTCAGGCCCTGTGGCCCCCTGCTGGTTGTTGAGTAGACACACATGCTCTCAGTCAGAAATCCTGAGATGCATGCTTCCTTTTAAGTTAATAAAAGTAGAAAATTAAGATTGAATTATTGACCGAAACAATAGATGAGTAAAGGGAAGTGCAGGGCAAAGCTCATTTTAGGTAGCCTTTTGAGTTCCACCAGCTTCTCATAGTCTCCTGATGTCCAGCAGTGATTCCTTAGGAGCCCTTCCAGAATGCTATCGTAGAGAGACGGCCATATTGGCTCACCACCCTGTGGGGGCTGACCTGCTTTGTGTGGCTGATTTTGCTGTAGTGAGTGTGTAAAACACTGCTAGGGTCACAGTACAGGCAGCCCTTAAACCACACACTCATCACAGCAGTAGAGGAAAGCAGGGCACAACACATTTAGGTTTTTGCAAGAATTTTAGAAGTATTTACACAAGATTAGTATTTTTTATACAAGCAACTTACACATACCTGCTACAAATGAAAAACGTTTGTTCCAGCACCTAACGTCTACAGATTCAGTTCAGCTAAATGTGGCAGGAGTGAAAAGGTTAAAACTACCCCATAGGTGGGATTAACAGTAGCAGACTGAAGTGCAAGTTGTAACAGTTGCTAAAAAAGTCTGGTAAATCGATGCAAAACACTGAATTCACTACAAATCTGTTGTTTAAACTGGACACGCTTTCCTACCTAAATACACAAAAATACAATAGTCAAATCCATAGCGAAAAGAGTGTGTTCAATGTGGCAAATGTATTTTTGAGTAGATTAAGGAGAACAGGAAATATCTGCGCAAGATAGCTAAAATATATTTTTTTACATAAGACCTATAGTGTATTTGATGAATCTGCTTCCAAAAATTTGACTGTTGTACATTTATTTTCGAGCACATGGAATTTATTTTAGGAGGCTTAGTTGTAACACTGAGTGACAACTAATCCCACCATGTGGTGGCTGTGCTTTATCTTGGCTAGCCCTCACTATGTGTTGGTTATTCTTCAAAATGGTGTTACTATAACCACTAACAAGGTGAATAAAATGATATAGTTATGTATTCTATGAGTTATACACAGAATTCAGTAATCAAAAACACTTACTTTTATTGAATAACAACAGGGTCTTCAGGGTTAATCTCAAGGAGTATCTCTACTGTGAAAATACACATGGTCTTGCTATGAGAGTATGACTAAAATTATATTCTACTTGTTTAATATACTAATGTTTAACTTCATAAACTATCCATTTTACATTTTTACCACACGCTAGTTTATGTCCGGCTCTTCCCTACAGTGAAGTTTTACCAGATTTACTGTTAGACAGAAGGGACCTCCTCTTATTCCTTGATGATCTTTTTGATTGGGTGCTAATCCATGCTTACCAGGGAAAAGGTGCAAAAGATACTTAAGATACTAAAAAAACCTTTCTGTGCAAAATCTGTGAAGGTCTAAGCACAAGCCATATCAACATATCTAAATTGCCTGGACAAACCTCTGATTGATCTCTTCTTTATGTATTTATAGCAGAATAAGCTTGAATCCATTAAATGAAAAGCTGTTGCCTTTTAATCTGTTGAAATGGCTACGTTTAGGGGAAGTTTTGTAGTAGGGCATGACTCGTTTTGTCATTTTTTGCAGAATTAGTTTTTTCTGTATAAGTTCTGCCAAATACACAAATTTGCCTTTAATTGTTATAATACTTTGGGTATCGCTTAACTATTTAACAGCTTACAGATACATGTTGCTTTGGGTCACCTTGCTCTTGTTTTTTGGGGCAGGTTTTGCAGGCACCCCTGGCTACCTATCTCCAGAGGTCCTGAGGAAGGACCCCTATGGGAAACCTGTGGATATTTGGGCCTGTGGTGAGTCTTACTCAGATGTTGATCAGAGCCTAGATAGCTCAGATTCTGTTTTATATTAGCTATTTCATACAATTTTCCCAACAAGCATAAAATTCATACTGTTGATTCTATTCATCAGCTCATCAGTACAGCTCCAAACTTATCAGTACGTTTCTCTCTTTCTCTCTCTCTCCCTCTCTCCCTCCCTCCCTCAGGTGTGATCCTATATATTCTGCTGGTGGGCTATCCTCCATTTTGGGATGAAGATCAGCACAAGCTGTACCAGCAGATCAAGGCTGGGGCTTATGATGTGAGTAGAGTTTGTTCTTCGAGAAGCTGTTAATGAGCAGAGCCCCCCACTCTGCATTCAGTGAAGCCAGCCTGAAATTCTTATAATCTCGTTGGCTTTGCAAAGTCAAAGAATATGCCATGAGCTCCTCCCAAGGCAACCACATTTTATTCTGCAGCACAATATGATCCTCTTTTTCCCTCCCGAGCACTTTTCCTTAAGTTCAGGGGAAAATACTGAATGACCATGTGCAATACTGGCATGATGGTTGGGGTAGTTTTTCTCCTTTGCTTTACCTTTTTTTTTTATTTCCACAAAGTGATATGCGCTTTTTCTTCCAGTGATTTTAAGACAGTTCCTAACGCTGAAGCAGATGCAGAGGCAAACAATATGATAGTGTGCAAGTTAACATTTAATCTTTGTGGGGGAAAAAAAAACAAATTTAAAAGTGCACTTGTGATTGTAGTACGTTGTCAACTTTAATTTGGCCATAAAAGAGTAATTAATCTAGTGAGAAAGGACAGAATTGTTTATTTCACATGAACCATGACTTTTAACATAGGCAGCTTACTGTACAGACATATGTTTCTAGAAAACTCTCAGCTATGTTAGGTACAATAAGTGTGGTGTCTCCAGTGTTCAGTAAAAATGTCCAATATCATGCAACATGTTCAAAAATTAATTTATGTTTACATGTAGGAATACTAGTATCTTGCTATGATTTGTGTGCAATAAATTAGTAAATTAACAAGTTTTTTTTTTTTCCCCCAACATTTTCCAACATGCAGAACATTTTTAAACCATAACTCTGTTAACCATCACCAGGCACAGATCTAACTAGGCTCAGTTCAGATAGTTCTGAATCTGGCTGTGTTAGTGTGTTGCAGCTGGGACTGAGTGGTCTGGCAAGCCGGCTGCTTAATTTTTGATTGGGTGCAATTGAGAGCTGTGCTGGTGCTATTGATCCTGTCATGCCTTTCCTGACGCATTGCAGAGAGATGACTTACCGTGCAGAGCTGGCTGCCTCTTGTGGGGGTGAATGTGCATGCGTGTGGTTGTTTGTTGTGTTTGTTCATGAAAAACCATCCTCAGTAAAGAATGTGTATGTTTAGGCATAAGCATTAACTTAAATGTACAGCTTGAAGGCAAAACTGAGCTGAAAACAGCTGGATTCCTTAAAACTGTTTACCATAGAAGCTCTTTGAAGGTGTCCGAGAGAGAAGGGAACATGCATGCAACATAAGTTAAACTGGCTAATTGGTATCTCTGTCTTCTACAGCTAATAACTTGTCTCAGTGAAGCCACGAAGCGCTAATATTCTGAAGTAACATGATTAGAACAACAGCCGTGGCCGTAGCGTGGCAAATCGTTGGAGTGGAAAAGAAATGCAACGACACAGCGTGACCCTTCACTTCCCTGCCATACCCCTTATTTGATTAGCCTCTAGCTGAAATGATGCATTGTGTGTCTGTTTGTCTGCATCTTGCTGTCTGAAAAGCACTTGAGGCATTTACTCCTGTGCATATAGATTACATATCCAACACTTCATGTGTGATTCTCCCCAACTCCCTTCCAGTTTCCTTCGCCTGAGTGGGACACAGTCACTCCTGAGGCCAAGAACCTCATCAACCAGATGCTGACCATCAACCCAGCCAAGAGGATCACTGCTGAGCAGGCCCTGAAGCACCCATGGGTCTGCGTAAGTAATTGCTGCCAAGAACTACAATTCCCACAAGCCCCGGGCTACAGAAATCCATTAAAAACTCAGCAGCGCCTCAGATGCTTTTGGAGTTTTAATACATTTGTGGTCCAGCCACCCTAGCTTACTGAATTCACTAACCATCAGAAAGAAGCTTCAGGAGGGAAACCCAATACCTTGTACCTTTCAGTACTCTTTAGATATTGTTCCTTTAGTATTTGGATAATATTTAGGATCTTCAAACTGAGTGTGTACTGGTTCAAATGCTTGTAGATGCACTTCATCTTACTTCCGTTCTTTCCCAATGTGTCTGTTCAGCAACGGTCAACAGTGGCATCCATGATGCATCGCCAGGAGACTGTGGAGTGCCTGCGCAAGTTCAATGCTCGGAGAAAACTCAAGGTATGGTTGTCTTTTTCAAAGATGTGTTCTGTTTTCTGCTCTACCTTAGTTCTGTCCTACTTCTGCTTGCAAGTTTGGCCATAATTCACTAGATTATCCACCAAGTTTTCTAAATTTCTGCATAATTAAGTTGTTGATATAAGAGTCATTCAAGGTGGTTTGATGTAAAATGGTTAATTGTAGCAAAACTTACTAACGTTTCTTTATAGTGTTGCTGACCGAAACCAGGGGTAACAATGTCTATAATTCAAATATAGCCATTTTATTTACTCCGCAAAACCACAAAAGAACCTACACATCTTCTGAATTTTTATATAGTATGTTGATAATGATAAGATGGTAAATATGATCAATACGAAAAATTTCAGAATTTCTTTTAGAACTGTTTTGACCAACGTCTGCTTGCACATCTACCATAAATGGATTGCAAAATATGTATCACGAAACAGTATCTCAAGTATCAGTCAGTGTATTCATAATGACTTCATGTAATTACATCATGTTAAGGAGGTTTTAGAGGCATAAAACTCTCTAGACGTATGGTTTCTATCACCACCACTAAAGAAGAAATGTTTTTTTTAAAGAAACTTTTTCTAGAACATAGTGTTTCACATCAAATAACACTGAATGATGATGTTCAAATCCTAACCTTAATTATAAAGAAATTTGGTAACATTTGTGGAATTGTGGAATTCCTCTTTAAGTATAACACAACACAGTCTATCTAACTCTTTCACTGTTTTTCTCCATTCAGGGAGCCATCCTCACCACTATGCTGGTTTCCAGAAACTTTTCAGGTAGGTCTTTCTCTTGCTCTTAATCAGGTAGGATCCCAAGGCACGGACAAAGCTATTCTCCCTACTTGTGCTCCAGTCAAAACTTCTTGAAACAGTTATGTATTTCCAGCTGTACGTGTGAGAACTTAATTGTTGGAATCTGTAAGCCACTGGGCTACCATTGTTCGATTTGTGTTTTAAAATATGCTGGGACATGGAACAATTGTGCTGAAGTTAAAGCAGCAGAAAAAATGAGTCGTTAACATTCCTTTTGCCCCAACACATACCCCCGTGATTGCATGCATTCAGTGATTTCTTGCCTTTGATTAATATGTCTTTCGTTCACCTGCTCCAATTTTTATAACCGGATAACGTGCCAGGTCATCTTTTACATCCTTACTTGGTTCAAGACAGTGTGTTTGTCTTGTCTTTGATAACAGAGGGTAACAGGTTGTATTTCCTACACAGTTCTATTTTTTTGCCATAGTGAAGTAAAGTATTGCACAAGCTTGAATTGATTTTTAACATTGCACAGAGAAAGTCATAGGCCACTTTCTCTCAGGGGGTTAAAATTTTTCGTAGCTCCGTCCAACTGAACGCCTCTCTGTCCAATAGTGGGCCGGCAGCATACCAGCCCTGCTGCTCCCACCACCAGCACTGCCGCGCTTGCACAGGAAGGTATGTGAGAGTGCATCTCCTCGCCTCACCACCAGGGGGGCCCAGCGAGCCCTGTCCTCTAAGACCCCACAGTCCTGACTCCTCCCTTTTACTCCACCCAGTCAGCATGCAGCCAGTGAAAGCCTATCATGCCTGCCATCACAGCACACGCACACTCCCTTTCATGAATGATCAGTACTAGTTGGTTCAGAACGGAAGGCTTCTCAGGTTCATATAATGAGTGTGCCACCTGCTGAGTTTTCACCATGCACATGTAAATTACACCTGCGAAGATTAACATGTATTCCTGTCATATGAGTGATCTTGGACTTGACAGAATTTGCTAGACAGAAAGCAGACCCACACCCCTTTTAAATATAAACTGTCTTCAGTGTAAACACGATACATTTTTAAGCCCTCTGTAGCTTTAAATGACTATTTTCCTCCCTACTAGCATGCACTGGCTTTTCTTTATATGTGAACAGAGGGACATCCCATTTCTTCTTTCAATGGTCCCTCTCTTTACTCCAACTTGAATTTGAACGGCAAGGCTCCAGACGAAAGAGCCTGATCAATATTACTGCACTGCATTAATTTTAACGATCACCATTGCCAGACACCCCACCACCAGCCAGCATGCATTATCTGTTTGCATGGCGGGAAGAGCAGTGAATGTCTCTGCTTCTGCTTTGGTTGGAGTTATCCCTCTCTGTCCTTTATTTTTCATGAGGTTATATATATTTCAATCTTTCTTTGCTCCTTTTTCATGCTTATATTGTGGAAACTTTTAGGTAACATCTGCTTTAGCTTGGGGTGAGAAACCCCAGTCTCTTTTCTCTTATCACAGCACACTCAGAGTACTGCACAGTAAGGCACAACCGATATGCCAATTGTCAATAGTCCTGTCGATATTTGTGCCAGTGTTTCTTGACTCTTATAATGAACACAGAGTTGCATTTAACATCCAGCCTTAAGCATGAAGATGCTATAACTCAAAGAAAACCTTTCTTTGAAGACAACTGATGAAAACTAAAGAAAATAAGAGGTAATTAACAGAAACCAGACAAATTGGACTCAGAATTTTTAGTACTCTAAAATTGCTGCTGGTGTCGGTCACATCAGTTGGCCCTACTGTGCAGGATAAAAAGGTTTTTGGTGGAAAATCAAAGTTTTTAGACTGGAGTCTCTCATCCCTTGCCAAAGCAGACCTCCACAGCCTGAGCCCTAGCTATCATCGCCCCTTCTTTTCCCCTGCAACCTGTACCCCCCTTGCTGAGAGTGCGGGGGGGTGTGTGCCACATGGACGGGCAGGAGCGGGGTTGGCTTGCTGCCAACCGTCAGACCCGGTGTAGAGTGGCGCTGGGCTCCAGCACGCGCCAGGTGGTCGGCGTGGAACAAGGCCCGCTGGAGGCCAGACAGACGATGCTGTTCATTCTACTGAGTGTGGAGAGACACTGGGGAGCACACAGGTGCCAGACACCCAAAAAATTTGTGTGATGATTATTGTTTGAAGATCTGATAAGAGACGTAGAATTTGTTTTACACAGTTTTCAACATTTTAAGCACTTTCTTTTTGTCATATTGATGTTAAATTTGGTCACTGCAGAGCTTTTGTTGAGTAGTTTCAATGCTTTTTCTCCCACAGTAAAGGCTAGCCTATTGTATGGTCTGCATGGTGTGGGAGTTTCTTAGATAATTAGTCTTACTGTAGTGGTGATTGACATTAATTACTTTGGAGCTATCCTGTCAGAACTCTGTCCACCAAGTTTCAACCATACCCAGTAAGTGTTTGATGTATTTGTAACTTCATCTCATTGCAGACAATAGGCTATTTTTTTCGATGTTCGACCAATAAGGACACAGCTTCAAGCTTTCTCATCTGTCTCTCCCTCTGCACTTCACTAACAGAGTTAGAGTAATTGCTGAGTTTAAGATAGGACTTTATGTCTAAGAGATTTAAAGCATGTTTATGGTTTTGCCCAAATCATGATATGCCAAGTAAAATAACAGTTTGCTATTTTTTTGTTGGTTTGCTTGCAAATGGTCTAATAATATCCTTAACCTTTTGTTCAGGAGTGTTGTTCTTCCTCAGTACTTCAAAATGCCCTCCTTGTGTCTTTTTTAAGTTTTTGGAAATTTGTGTAATTTGTAAAGCATGAAAAAACTCATACTGGGTTATAAACCAAATGTAGATTCCAACATTTTGCCTTTTATTTTCACCTGGTGTAACTTTTAAGATGCAATTTGACACAAGGAAGGTAGTTATGAAGACATTTTGTCTGAAGACAGCATTCCTTCCTTGTTATATGTTAAAGTCTGGATATGTAGAAGCAACCTGTTGTTGGACTGATCTAACTGGCATACTTATATCAGTCCACTCTCCATCGAATTGTTTGAATGGGGAAAGAAGGGAGGAATGCATTTTTTTCAGACTTGGCTTGCAGGTCTTATTACACAATACAGTGCTGCTGAATTTATAAAAAGTTGGTGACTACCTATTAAGCAGAGTCCCTCCTTCACAAACATTATGGGACTAGTAGTCTTACCTTGTTAGCACTGCATGGCTGGCTGTATGGTGAATTTCACCCACCACTAGCACCTTTCACGTCATCTTGAGTGCAGCATGTAACACCAGTAGGCTTGCCAAACAAACGATACCTTCTACCTTCCAGCTCCATACGCCTTTCTCTCTGCAACCCTGTTGATTGTTGTTTTTCTCTCTCAATCTTGCCTTTCTCCCCATCATCCTTCCTTTCCACTTGTTTATGGAAGGTAAGGAACTTATTGGGGCTACTGAGCGTGAAGCTTTTGACTCCTGTGTTTGTTAATGTGTTGTTAAAGCAGTCACTGCTGTATGGATTTGCTAAGGCCCTGCGCAAGCCATGTCATTAGCAGGGAAGGTAATCTGCAGTGTATCGAGGCTCACTCACCTACACTGCTTCAAGACCTCTAAATCAGACTGCTGGGAAATCACGGTTGCAGTTAAAGGAAATCAATTGCATACATTAGCTGTGATTTTCCTTCATTATGCCTGTAGTCTCAAAAGGAGAACAATTTTATTCTCTCTTCTCTGTTCTAGGGTCAGTATGAAATGGATGATTCATTAAAGTCTGAATTTAGCAGTTAAATTAAAAGTGAAGTTCAGAAACTTTTTTGGTCATCACAGTCGAAGACTTTTGGCTACCTTTTTACAGTGCATCAGTTTGATGGGCATGATCATGACTTTCATTGGGTATATATACTAATTCAGACTCTCTTCATTCTTTACAGCATGCAAAAGTTTACTCAACAAAAAATCTGGTGATGGGGTTAAGGTAAGAGCTGAAGTATTGTTCTGTATGACTTTTTTTTCCCTACTCTCTACTTAATGTTACTACTTATCAGGTGCTCTTCTCTTCTCTTCTCCCCTGGTTTAATCTAATTCTGTAACTGTCCTTTAACCTACATATGTGTTTTACAGTTATAATACTTTTCAGCATCTACTTTGAAATGAACACTAAGCTTTGAGTTTCTAAAACAAATTCAAACTTTTAACAGCCAGATCAGTGTCTAAAGGTGATCGTGCTGGCTCCAACAATTGCACAAGAACTTTATGAACAACAATAGCAGAGTCTGAAAGCAAAAGCCCTGTTACTTGTTTAATCTTATCTGTATCTTCTTTAACGGTAACTGAGAGCATTGCTGCCAATAATGAATTAAGAGTTAATTGCTTGTACTGCTGCCCCTCACTAACGGAATTAGCAAATACAAAATGATGTAGATTATCTTATTTGAGAAGCCTATAATGATTTAGCTTCTGTCAGAATATCTGTTTATATAGACCTCTGTAAGAGGTCTGTTATTTTGGAGCTGGGGTGACTCCATCAGCAAGGTTTCTATAAGTGTTTGGCTCAACAAAAGCTTTAATGTTCTTCCTGAAATTGATTGATTGTTTGGTAACATCTCATTTTTGCTCCAGTATTTAATTTTCAAATATGTAAAACATTAAATTAAAGTAATTGTGCACCTAATAAGTTCTGAAATAATTTGTGCCTACAATGGCACTCTGGTCAAAGATGTTTTATAATAAATATGTATGCTCATGAACTGTCAGTGTAAAATAATTCATTGAATTTAAAGGCCTACATGTTCCTGGTGACTATCTATCTGAAAAGGAAAAATTTTATATGTCTCCTCTCTGCTGCAGCCCCAGACAAACAACACTAAAAACAGTGTAGTGAGTGCCGTAGTGAGTGCCCTGAAGGAGAGCAACACAGCCTCCTCTACACCAATGGTACTTTAATCTGCATTCCTCCATACCTAGTGTGCTTCTCTGTAGATTCCACCATTTTGTCATTTGTCAAGTTTGTTTTTGGTCCTCATTGTCCTGTCAGCTATAGCTGTTATACTTTTTTTGTTTTGTGTTAGCATGCAATAGTGCAAATATGGCTTTATGTTACTTTTATGTTCTGCTGTTCTCTTCTAGCCCCTGTTTTAACCATATATATTGTTCGTCATTCTACATAAATACATGACGGTTTCCACATATGAGAGTTGTTCACAGCAGTGATGATAGGAACCAGACGGCCAAGGCAAAGCTACATCACAGAAAGTTATTACACAAAAGAATTATGAATATACACTCTGATGACTGAAGCGTGGTTTTATGATGGTTTGAGAAGCTTTTGATGCAAAACGTTTTTCAAATACATGCAGGGCAGGGAGAGTCACAAGTTGTTGTTAGATAACATGGTACCTAAAGAAAACTTATTTTTTCAGACTTACAATTATTTTACCATTATCAGCAATACATACAAAAACTCACGCATAGCATTTTCAGTAGCAAATAAAATAACTGTTTGAGGACATCACGATTCCTAGTACCTGTCACCACTACTGTAAAGAAAATCAGAGCCGGTAAATTTGTCTGCAATGTACTTTTTCAAATTAAACCATGTGACTATGTATGTTGCCTCTCATCGATTGAATTATGCAGAAAGTTTGAAAATTCGATGGAATCTCCCTTAAAAATAACTGCCATTTGAGTGACTTACCAAACTTTCACATACAGTTAAAATAATATGAATACCTTTGTGAACTATAGCAAATCTGCTTCATCACCAGGCCACTGAGCACTGGCATGTAAGTGTTGTGTCAACCAAATTATGAAAACAAGTGAAATGTATCCTGTCGTTGTCCGTCTCAACCAAAAAGTTTAACATGGGGCTGGAAGAAGCAAAAAGTACATAAACTAGATTTCAGTGAAGATGCATTTTCCTTGCTTGAAAACTGTCATTTCTTGTGCTCAGTGCCAGAAATGATAGCTGGATACCCTGGAGGGCCGGGCCAGGCAAAGGAAAGTGAATTGACACTTAAAATGGACTGTGCGTGTACATGCTGCCCAGACAGCCGAGCAAAGAGCATCCCGGGACCTCCAACACAAGCCATTAAAGCACACAGTTAACCTCTCACCCCACTAGAGGCCTGCAGGCAGTCTAAAGCTCATCACAGGGCACAGACATTGAACACAGATGCAGCTTTTCTGTTTCGGCTTTTAGAGGGCTGATGTTGACGTGTATGGAAGTCATGCATGAAAAGTTGATCAGAGCCATGCAAAAAATGGCATAAAATAAAAATTATTCTTTGCAGTTTGTTTTTTGATGCCTTTGCTCGTATTTGCTAGTTGGGCACCTCGGTTTGTAATGCTCCATCATTTGGAAGGAACCTTTGGCATGACATAGTCCATGACAGTACACATACACAGATGTATTTGGTTTCTTTTGGAAAGTATAGTGAGTGGAATGCAAGAACATCAGCCAGAAAAATTGCTGCCTCTCTGTTAGTTGGTTAGCCTGTTTTGGTGAATAAAAATAGGACTTGCATTAAACATTATATAGACTGCACTGCATGGTGTTTGAGTGTCAGTCAGAGGTTTGTTGCAGTGCATTTCCTCTGGGGAGGAGTGTTACGTGACAGAATCTAATTGTTATTGCTGGTATTAAATCCTGCAGGAGCCGCAGACTACGGTAGTGCACAACCCAGCAGATGGCACCAAGGTGAGCCCCTTCGCTGTATGCATTCTCTAGAGGAGGAAATGACTGAAGGAGTGCATACCGTACACATTTATATACTGTAAATTTTGCATACTTTATTTATTAATTTTTGCAACGTTTATAAACAACAGCTGTTTCGTTACGATATTGATCTGTTAATATATTTTTTCTCTCTCTGCCATGATTCTGTCCCATTTTTAATTTTTTTTCCCCCCACTGTCTCTATTCCCTTTCCACTCTCTTCACTCTGTTTACCCTCTCCTTCACTCTTTTCCTCACTTTTGTTCTCCTCCTGTCACTCTGTCTCTGCAGGGCTCCACAGAGAGCTGTAACACCAATGAGGAAGAGGATATGAAAGGTAGGAAAGGTACCCAACCCTTCTCTTTTTTTCTGCATGCCTCCAGCAATGTGGCCTCATGGCACTGAGGGCTGCTGTGATAATAGCAATCTCTCTCCTTGTTAAGCCCTTCCATTACAATCATTTGAACTTCAAACACTCTGCTGCATTAGACAGGCTTTAGATATGCCGCCTGTTTACTGGAATAGCCTGTGATTTATCAGTCTACCCTTGAGTCAAATGGTCACATATAATGTGTTGATAACCCCCCTGAAATTGTAAGCTAGTATGTTGTGTAAGTGCATAACGTAAATGCCAGTATTCAGTCTAATACACCTGGGTCGACAGGAGAGAGATTAAAGTATCCTGATGGTAGATCTATATCTGTAGCTGTGTGTAAGGCATGCATCACACACATGACTGCCCCCCCGTAGAGTTAAATATGGCTTACAGCTGTATGGCATTGTTGGCTGAGTCAGTGGCACACTGCTGCTATGTGAGATGTAGAAGTAATATCTAGTGGTAATCAGGTAAAGCATTCTCACACATGTACTTTCATATAAATAAACCATCACTTTCACACTTACTGCACAAGAAAAAGCTGCGCTGTGTAGACCGGCACACATATGCACTATAAACACATACACGTCTTTCTCTGATGTTGTGTGTAGCGTTTGGATGTACATCTGTATTTGTGTGATAGATTTTGTATGTGTGTGTGTGTTGTGTGTGTTCTCAGCTCTAGTGTTTGTTGTGAAATATGAATATAAAAATAAACCGTGCTGTGCTGTGTTAGGTTGTGTGCTGTGAACTTCCATTAGCATGTTTTGAAAGTACTTGTTAAGTCAGTGTTTTACATTGTTCTCTATGAGGGTGCAATAATGTACTGCTGTGGCATTCTTCTCTAATTTCCTGTCCTTAGTTACCTCTAACCTGAATAAACAGTAGGGCCTGACTGTTGTGAAAATGTTGTGATCAGTACTGATTTTAAGGAGCTAAATATTCTGATAACCAGTATTATTTCATATGGTTAAAGTGTTAAACATATTCCAGTAGTTACATTTAAATTGCTTTACTGACTGATATGATTGTCTTCAACTGTGATTAGAACCATTTCACATTTCTGTATTTGATGCAACCAAAGTTGTAAAAGTAGGGAAAACATTACAGTAGTGGCAGTGTTTACAAATTAAAATGTAGAAAACTCTCACATTTTTACATCCTCATAAATGTATTTACTTAATTTATCCATGGGAGATGTAATTTATTTGAATCAGTTCATTTTAGAGAGGAGCAAGCTTGGCAAGGGCTGCAAGCTTTTTTTTTTTTTGAGGGAAGGGAGCTCATGACACATTATCCAATGGTATCAGCGGACATTAGTTGTATAATGCTTACTAGAATATGTCAGTGTTTTGCAGGTTGGGAGTTTTGGTTGTGTTTTTCCCCTGTTTAATTCTAATTGTGTGTTGTACAGTTTCCAGTATTGTAAAGGGACAGGTTGTAGTCAGTGTTTCTATGTAAGTTAACTGACATGATAATGTTTAATAACTTCAGTGTTTGTGTTGAGAGCAATGATAGTTACTATACAAAGGTTACTATACAAAAACATCAAAACATACCAATCAACACAGTCGCCACACAAAACCTTGCTGCCAGTCCACACATTTCATTGACTTGTCTACTTAACATTAGCTGACTAAAGCAATACCACATTTTTTATTTTATTCAGATAATGCCATATATTCTCTTTCCCATTCAAAGACAACTTTTTTCCTTTTTTAAAATTGTATTCCTCTCCTGTGCGGGGGCCAGGGCAGTAGGCGTCAGTAGCCTACTTCTGATGTAGACCTTGACAAGCTTGCTCCACCAAACGATCGTCTATCATTGATAAATTAGGTGAATACCTTAAGGAGGACATAAAAATGTGCAAGTACTCTACATTCTCATTCATAAATGCTGTTTTGCCTACTGTGATTACTTCTGCTGTGTCATATATAACTGTCTGACTGACTGACATTTCTTAAATAACAGCAACACAAATTTTAGCATAATAAATATTGCATCATGAGCCAGCTTCTGTTGGGTTTTGAGTTATATTTGGGTTGTATTTGCTTTTTTTTCTTCTAAACCAATTATTGTTGCTTTATCACAAGATTTTCACTGATAAGATCTTATTGGCCAACTCATACATTTTGTTGGGTCCTAGTGAATAGCTACTTATCTGCCCAGCCACCTCAGCTGTGTTTGTCAGGTGATGAGGACAGGAAATTGAGAGGAGGCTTAGTGAAATATTTCAGAGTTCACAGCTGTGTCTGAGCACGGTGATTACTGGCACTGCTGCATTGCGCCATGGCCAGCTAGACGCTGCTAATTCTCCAGTGCCAATTCATGCTACTAGAGGGCTGGGCACAGATGCATAGATGTGTTTATAATGGAGTCCCATAGACTATTTAGACTGTGTCTGTGTTTTTATCTGGCCGAGACCGAATTAATTGAGCCGTTTTATCCAAACACGTCCTCTTCCAGTGGCCTCGTATGAACTTAATGCTAATGTGATATTGACAGAATAGCTGCATCACTGCCAAAAGCAGCGTGTGTGTTAGTGTGTTTTGGCCGGAGCTGGACATGAGAGCTGTGTGTGTGTGTTTTTCTCCCGGTGGTGTGTGTTGCGCTGGTCTTGGGGCCATGCCAGCGGAGAGTGCTCAGGGGGCCAGCAGTGACAGTGCGGTGATGAGTCAGTGCAGTGCCGGGGACGAGCCGCCCGCTCTGGTGGCCTCGCCACAGGCCTCTCCAGCCAGTAAGTTACCCACAATTCTCCGCTCCCCATTGGCTTCCTCTACCACCCCCCAGACCCACTCCCACTGAAAGTCTCGTCCCACTCTCACACCTCTCCAAGCTTTTTCCCCCCACTTCTCTTCAGTGTGTGAAGTGCCTTCCAGTCACTTCTCAACACGTGCAGCCACTCTTCCCCCTGATCTTCTTTTCAGATGAGGCCGTGTGCAGGTCTGCTCACATTTTCCTCTACTGTTCTAGTGTTGTGGCCTTACATGCCATGTTCTTCCAAATATTCCTCCTCTACACTAAGGATGGCCATTTTTAATTTCGCTACTCATATATGTACATTTCAAACAAATAGTATGTTAACATTCCAATGAGAATCTTTTCTGTTATTCTGAATAAAAACCATGCACTGTGTTTTAACATTCGTTCATTGCGTGCAGATAGCATAAGAAGTGGTGGTCTGTATCCTACTTAATTCGTTTCACTTGATTTAGTGATATGTGCTTTAGATGTATGTGAATTAATACATTACTTTGAAATATATCCGTACAGTTGGGCTGTATGGAAATGTGGCCATTTTGCTTAATGTCAGACGCAACATTAGCTGCTTGTTTCCCACATTGTTTACTATTCTGCATCACATGCTCAGTCAAGAACCTATAAAGAATAACAAGTAAAAAGTTTTACTTTTAAGATTCCAAACTATACATATTCCCAATTAAGTAAATGAATGCAGAGTTTTGTTTATTGAGTTTGTACATTTAAATAACCATCCCTACTTTTAACATGCCATCTTGTCAAAGCCTTTTTAGGGCCCCTTACGTCTTCTGTGCTTTTCTAACTCGTGTGGTCTCTTCCCTTTGTTTGTACCTGTTTACCTTGTGGATGATCCTTTCTAGCCTTTAGCTGTTTTCTTCCACAGATTTTAGATTTAAGAAATTGACTTGTACTCAGAAATCAGAGCCTTTCTGCCTTCAAGCTGTTTAGGGCAGCACCTTAATGTGCTTGTCTTTGTGGTTGATGCATTGTCACTCTGCCTTTGCTGTGTCTCACTGCTCTTGTGAATGAGATTGGCCTTCAGAGTACTACACCACTTTTACTTTGGTTCTTGAATCTTTGCCTTTTTTGAAAGAAAAAGAAAAATATTTTGTTAGATGGGTGGTGGTTGTATTATTGGGTGGCTTTACTACATAGTTGTAAGGAAGGTTATTTTTGTTATAGAGTAGTCATGAAAGTAAAGATAATGGAATGATTGTCCAAAGAAACTATGCAATAACTGCAACACACTGTCCATCCTCCGTCTTCATCCTAAACATCTTTACTTTTCTCACTTCCCCTTTTCTCGTTTTAGCTATTTTGCCAGTGTACATATTTTATTTTCTGCATTTTTGAGTATGGCTAAAATAGTTTGTAAAAAGATTCAAATTTACGCAATCTTTCCCTTTCGTTAAATGTCATTCAACCAAAGTCTAAAATGTCTGACATTTTCTCCTTCGGTTTTGCACTAGAGCTACAAGGCTAATGTAGCTAACAAGTAATGGACGCCTATACCACTTCAATTAGTATAGTGCAAACTGCAAGCTTAAATAATCACACTTTTCCTAATCGTGTTGTGTTGTTAGGTAATCTCAATAGACTTGTTTGTGTTTTATGAGACTATATCTTGTACTGTTATCTGTAAATGGACAAAATTATCTGACATAGCTAAAGGCAAAAGTATCAGCCATTTTGAAGCCTGAATTTTATCCGCACTGTAGTCCATTTCATAGACAACAGTATTGTACAGCGTCAGAAACCACTAAAGCAAGTCTGTTTGAAATTACTTAATGACTGACGGACTACGTTTGGGATAAGGAAAAAATTGTGTAAATTTGATTCTTTTCCAAACTATTAGTTTAAGAAGAGTGGTTAAAAGGGCTTTTCCTCTGTTTCCACTGATTTTGATTCCCCATTAACATCCTGTCTCTTTTTCCTCCGTCCTCTTCTCCATGTGTCATGTTTTCACTTAAAACAGTTCTTTTAATCTTTCTTTTAAATATTCATTAACATTTCATGTTTTTTCTTCATCTACTCGTCTGTTTTACTCGTAAAACAGTGTGTAATATGCTGCTGCCTTTTGTATAGGATAAAGAATGAGGCAGTGTAGCTTATATTAAATGCTTTTCCATGCTGATTCTTGGGCCTTTGCATGTTTCATGGTTAGATGTCACCAGAAGGGCATTGTGGTGCATGTTGTGTGTTGCAGCTCTGGTGCATGACATAAAGCGCATGGCGTGGAACAGTTCAGGACACGCTTCGTGCCCAGAGTTAGAGTGTGCTCAGTCTGTTCCTCATGCCACATCTCAGGGGGGCAGCAATGTGTCTGCAACTGCAGCAAGTGGGGCCGCAGCCCAGTGTAAGTGCTTCGGCTGGTTTCGGACACACACATACACACACTGGGTGTGCAGTGCTACCTGTTTGTGCTAAAAGGAGGAACTGTGTGATGTTAAGGGGGGCTGCAGTCAAACCTCTTTGGTCTGTTGCAAGTATGCAGAGGTTTAACTAGGCAGGGCTGTTGCAGAGTGTTTTGAGATACATTTATGTGATGAATATAATAGCAAAAATGTAGGACACGTACACACTCATTTGTGGTCATACATATGTCACGTGATTACTGGGGATGTGCATTTTGATATTCATGAAAATATCTGGTACAGTACAAGTACAATAAAGAGAAAAAACAACATTATAATGAGCTGTGGCTTATCTTTTAAGGTGACAGCCCTGGCCTATGAGCAAAACTTTACAGCTGTGTTTAAACATAAAATTTGTGTTCTCTGAATTCTTGGTCTGTAGATTTTCTCTGTCACATGTAAAGAAATGCCACTGGTACCCAAATAGTAATTTCTGTTTTTTTTTTTTTTTTAAATACAAGCACTTTTAACAGAGTACTCGAGTACCTGCACACATCCCTAGTCATTACATGTATTAGGCTATGTTCACACAGCAGGTAAAAGTGGCACAAATCCACTTCTTTCCCTTCATATGTGACACAGACGTGTTGTCTGTGTGACAGTGTGAACAGCAAAAGCCACACAGAATCCGACATTTTCAATTCCACTTTTTTCATATGTGGTGCTGAAATCTGATATGTATCCGATATGTAGCAATGCGACTCAATCTGAACAGACAGATTGGATTTCATTTGACTTTTTTACGTCACTCCAACTCTACATTCATCATAATTTTGCGCTGCCGAGACCACCATAAATACTGGGGGTGATGTTTCTGTACAAAGATGAGAAGAGACTTATTCAAAAACCGTCCGTGTTTGAAAAGATTTCGAAAGAAGTGGCCGAACTCGGCTGTAGGAGAACAAGGCTTCAGTGACCAAGAAAAGTTAAATAGGCTGAAAGCAAAGTTTAAAGAATCCAATGAAATGAACCAAAGAAGTGACATTCTGGGTGATGAGCCCAGCTGTCAGTCAAAGAGGCTTCATGATCGCTCCTGTAGATGAAACAGAACACTCAGGGAGCGACTGGCGTTCGTTGGCAGTCATGATTGTTTACCTCTGGATGAGCCACGTGAAGCAACGTGACACATTGTTCTTTTGCACATACAGGTCAGTTTAGGAGCTTGATCTGTTCAGACTAGTGTTGTATACATTTAAAAGATATTGTGAAAACCATCAGATTTGGTGAGAAAATCAGTTTTGGGCCACTTTTACCTGCTGTGTGAACGTAGCCATAGTGTTATACCGATACTGATACCGTATCTCTATCATCGCTGATTCTGGGATTTAAATACGGTATTGATATCTGCATTAGAGAATATTTCTTGCATGTCGATAGAGAGAACTTCACTGAAGAAAGCAGATTGTCGAGGTGTAGAACTATTTCACACTTGAGACAAGCAGTAATATAACAGCAGTATTTCACACTTGAGACAAGCAATCTATAACAGCAGTAATTTTCTAAGCTTAACCCTGAACCTAAACTTTAATCTATATCCCCATTAGCCAAAAAGAATTGTTTTTGACCTTTAAGTTTAAGCAGTGACAAAGCAATTTACAAGGTCAGGACCATTGTGTTGGTCCTGACGTTGGTTGCCCTGTTTTCAGGACATTTTTCTCTTGAAAATGTAACCAACACATACATAAACAAAGTATACTGTAGTGAAAATGAAGGACCAGTGTTCTGCTTTGTCCATCCTGAGACATTTTGTGGTTATTTGCTTATTTTAGGTATTGACCGGAAATTGCATGTTGCTAATCATGATCTCTTCTCTGTTTTCATTAACCCATCTCCTCACCCCTCCACAATTCCATACTTTCCTCTTATCTCTCCACTCCTTGCCTCTCTTTTCTTTTCTGCTGTGTAGCTCGTAAGCAGGAGATCATCAAAATCACAGAGCAACTGATCGAAGCTGTGAACAATGGAGACTTTGAAGCGTACACGTAAGAATGATACAAATACAGCAAACTATAAAGAGCATAGATGGCTTATAAACTTATAGATCATGACTGCTAGCAGTATTGAGAGTGTATCAAGAAAGCTTGCCACACACAAGCATTGTTTTAATTTAATGGTTTTTGGAGTTGAAAGTGTATTAATCTGCATTTCAGGAGAATCTGTGACCCTGGCCTGACCTCATTCGAGCCTGAAGCTCTGGGTAACCTGGTGGAAGGGATGGACTTCCACAAGTTTTACTTTGAAAACTGTAAGTCAGTTGTAAGCTAAAATGCTACAGTTCATAAGCAGTGAAGGATTATTATTATAAGGTGTAGTAGTGGACTATTCTGTATTATACAGTGTGAATGACTACAGGCTTGAAGAATCTTGCCTGATGTTTTCAGCTGATTATTGTTGTGCCTAATACTTAATGAAAATGAAGAACATTTAGAACATGTTATCGCTTGTTACAGTGTTAAGTAAGAACAACAAGCCGGTGCACACCACCATCCTGAACCCCCATGTTCACCTGATTGGAGAAGATGCAGCTTGCATTGCATATATCCGGCTGACGCAGTACATCGACAGCCAGGGCCGTCCGCGCAGCTGCCAGTCTGAGGAGACCCGCGTGTGGCACCGCCGAGACTCAAAGTGGCTCAATGTGCATTTCCACTGCTCAGGAGCGCCAGCCGCACCCTTACAGTGAACACTGCGGGACAAAGGTTTGTAGACTCGGCTTGGGTATCTCTGAAAGCCACCAGAGTAGTGTGCTGTGTCACGCAGCATCACACATTTTTAGTCATTGTTTTTAAACGGGAATTCCACCAATTTTTCAAAATTCTTAGAAGAATCCAGTCCTTGAGATGTAAACAGTCATTCAGAGTGGTTTGATGTGAATTGGTTCACTGTAGAGAAACTTACAGACTCAGATTTCTTTACAGTGGCGGTGATAGGAACCAGGGGTCACTATGTTTACAACACAAATATAGCCAATTTATTTACAACCCAAAACCACCAGTGAACCCACACATATCTTCTTAACCATTAATAACTTTCTGTGAGGGAGCTTTTAGAGGTGGATGTCTGGTTCCTATCACTACCACTGTGAACAATTCTGACTCTCTAGAATGGAGTATTTCACACCAAACCACTCTGAATGGCTTTATCTACATCTTAACCAGTTAATTATGTTGCATTTTTGAAAATCGGTGGAGTCGACCTTTAACGAAACTGCCTTGAACATTTGGCATCAGTGCCTTTTGGCGATTTTCAGCGCTGCTCAGTTGTACTGCATTAAATTACATAAAGGACGTGATGTGACTTGACATTTACGGAGAGAAACGATTTCAAGATAAACAGACAAGTGCTTAATGCTAATCATACTTTAGTCAACATTACAAGCTTAGTGTTTTTTTTTTTTCTATCTTTTAGCTTGAAAACACAGTTTGTGAGGTGCTAGTTGGCTGATATCAAACATGATAGGTTCACTAAATGATGTTTAAAGTTCTCCATTAAATTTATGTAAGAGCATAAAATGAGCTTTAGCCTGATTTTATCAGCACGCTCACGCATTCTGTGCAGTATAGATGTACTTGTGTATGGTGGCCTTAAGATTTGACAGCAATTCTTTATAGAATGATTCAGTTATTCTGGTATGATTCAAAAAACCAAAAAAAACCTCATACACTTTACACAGTAGTCCATTATAGACCATTAAATTGCCAGTTTCAGATCTATGTGATGCGCTTTTACACCATTTTATCTTTTGTTCAAAAGTAAATACACTTGTTTTAGTGTTCTTTTAAACTCTCCTCTCTCTTTCCAGGTTGTCCGGATTCTTGAGTGATGGGAGTGTTTCTTCTTTGTGGCCGGATGGGCACATTGAGGCCGGCTGGACGACAGCAAGCTACAGAACATGCCATTGAAGAATTTCGATAACATCCAGTCCAACTGTCAACACCACCTATCCTGTTTAACCTTTGACCAATAGGAGCCGGCCGCGGCTGTGGCCCCACCCTCGGGACGGTGCATGCATCTGACGCCCACATGGGGGCGCTGTCTAGTCCTTACCCATGGAACCATCTTTTTTGCCCGTTAAAGATGTCTAGAAGGTGTTGTAAGTACTGATCTATGAATTCATAAATATACTGTATATTGTTAAAAAAAAAAGCTACAATCAAGTTTGAAAAGCATTTATGTAAGTAAAATGGAACGGGGGTGGGGAGGGGAGGGTCACTACATAAAAAAACAACAATAAAAAAAAACAAAAAACAAAAACAAAGATAGACTCTTGCCCTAAACTGGTAAAGTTTATAAGGGCGTAATCTTAATCCTCCATCTTGTACACTTTGTAGATTTTGGATACAAATTGTTTAGAGAATTAAGGGAATGTGTCAACTAATCAGAAAGAGTGTCATTAACAAAAAAAACAAAACAAAACAAAAAAAACATTGGGAGAGTACAGACGTACTTCATATCAAGAAGCACCAAAGTGTAGTCTTTAGGCTTTTAAAAGAGTGTTTCTGTGTGCTTTTTTTTAAACTTTAAACCAAGGTCTGTGGGAAGGTTTGAGTTTTTCTGGGTGTTAGTATTGTGTGTTAATGTGGAACTCTTTTCTTTCTTTCTTTCTTGCTTTTTTTTCCTTTTTTTTTTTGGACTGAGGCTGTATCAGACAGAAAGTATTTTGTGTTACGTAATTTGAATTTTTAAGACTAATTTTAAAGCTTTTTTTTTTTTTTAAGTTAAACTTAATATACGTGTAAAGTTCTATAAATATATATTTAAAAGAGATCAAGTGAAATAAGGTTCACCTCCAGGGTGTGGGGAAAACAGTTTTTTTCCTGTGGCTCTGTTGTGCGTGTGTGTTTGTGTGCGTGCGTTTGTATGGACTTACTAATAAACTTAGACACGCCACACTATTCTATTACCTTAGGTAGACCGCTCCAGCTCTAGTTGAATGCGTACCGGAGAGTGTTTAATAGCCCGAGCGAACAGACCGAGCTCTGTCTAAATAGCACTAAGTACTACTACTAGTCCTAGAGAGGCCCTTCTGTTTTACTTTAGTTTTCATAGATAGGAATAAAAACACTCAGCCTGCCTCTCAAAACCCATTTTAGAGTCAGAATTCATGGTACTGATGGTCAACTGCCTACCACATTGAGATACTATATTTAGCAACATGGCACAAGCTCAAAGAAAGCAAGATTGTGGAGATAACGTCTGTTTGACATTGAGGTGTTTCAAATGCTAGCCTGAAACCACTCTTAGGCAAGTGCTGGGAAGTTGGTGTGGTGGAAGTAAACAGAGGCTGGAGCACAGGCCAAGGATGTGAAACATTCTCCTCAAATGAGATCATCACACACTGCCTCTTCATAGACAGAACAATACACCCACACCCAGATCCACACATGCACACACACTCTTAGTGGAACTGTTCAAGTTTGTGGCTGTTTCTACTCATGGTGGTCTTGTCTGAATCACCCTGTCCTAAATGTGTTGTACTTGTGGTTCACATTGGTGATGGGTTTGTACACTTGTTAATGCTGTGTAGTACACACATTAAATCCATCATTAACATGAAGTGAGAGGGTAAATCTCCTCACTTTACATGAAAAGTGACATGCATTCAGCTTTTAAGATCACTCGTGATTTACTCATCTTTCTTTAAACATGAGTCAGACATGTTTTCTGAAGAATTACAGGGTTTAAGGCTTTGGTTATTATGAATTAAGCTTATGGTTCTTGTTACAGCACAATTAGCTTGTTCCAGCTTTGATGAGAGGTGGTTAAAAAATAAATTAAAAAATAACTATTCATGTCACATGCTTCGTTTCAATAGGATATTGGTAAGCAGCAATGTAAAGTGTTCTGGAAAAAGGACAAACATAAATTTATATATATATATATCTCCACCCCCCTCTGCGGAATAAAGGATTATTATAGTTGTTTTTTTGTTTTTTAAACAAAAGAGTTCTCAGTCTGTGTAAATACATGTAGTGTTCACACATCCTTCATCGAGTGTAGGGCTTTGGTACATATCAGCACTGTAACTCTGCACGTGTGAGTGTGTGTATGTGTGCGTCACCTTCATCACAAAGCCCTCTTAGTGACGTCATCAGACTCTGTGATGCTGTTTTAAGCTTGTATTTTGTTTTATTTTTTTGTTTTTTTGTTTATTTTTTGCGCTTTTTGGGGAACTGCTGCCTTGCCTGGCTGAGTCAGAGTTACTTTTTTATTTTTATTTTTTAAATCCATCCAATAGCTCCGTAGAAACCGAAGGGAAAAAAAAAACAAAAGTGGACACACTAAACCATAGGCTATTTAGACATATAAAGCAAAATCTACCCCCTGCCCAAAAGCTAGGAATGAACACTGGGCCAGGATCTACCCAATGTGAGGGGAAATCCTAATATGCAGCTTAAATAAAGGAACGAATATGCATGTCTACTTTTTCTTGGTAAATCTTTTTTCAACTGTCTGTGTTTACTTGATTCAAATGGGGAAAATCTGTTATAGTTGCATCTCTGAAATGAAAACCACTCCATTTGGGGATTATACATAAGTGATATACCACGTTTAAAAAGAAAAAAGTAAAAAAAAAAAATTAAACAGAAGTCTCAGCTTGGAATGCTCCCCTCATTCAGAGTAAAACTATTGCATTGTAATGGTATACTATTGGGCTACGTATATACTCGGAGTTAAAACATGGATGCTGGATTTTGCATGATCATACATTTAATAAAACCATGAATTGACAACTATCAAGTGTTTGTCTGAATGTTAGTAGGTCTTCATCATAGTTTTGGTTATTATTGAAACTGGATCTTGGAAGTATTTAATAAAAAGACCATTTCAGCATGTGCAAACTGTTTTCTATTGCCTTAGCTGCACGTTAATGAAACGTTGATAGCTTAAGCACGGTTAATGGACCTTTTAAATAAAGTGTGTTGCTACTTTGTGTAGCAGTTAAAACAGAACTGTGTACTAATGAACAATGCATTAAATATTTTCATGGATTTAACAGTGGAGTGCTTGTAGGGTGGGAGATTATGGCCAAAAAAAAAAAAAAAGTACCTTTCAGGGTACAAATGCTGTCACGGGGAGTGGAGGGGGGGGTCCCTCAAGTACACAGCTTCAGTCACTTTACTTAGGGAACATACTGTACCATATTCTGTTGCAGTTATTTAAGCTTTTTTCATACTTGGTTATTAAAAGGTACAAAACCCATTTGAAATGCACAATTGGTTCTTAAGTACCATGTACCTTGGCAGGGCGGATACATTTGCATTGTACCTTGGAGGACTAAAATGATGTTATACACTGTCAGGAAAAAATGTACTATCATGATTGAATGTGTTTTACAGTACCCTAAATGTATTTATTCTTTCTGATACTTTAAGATAAATTGGATCAGAAACTGTACCGGTGACCTATCAAATTCAGACGCTATAAAAAAAAATAGCATAATGGCTTTTTTTTTCCCATATGACTGCAAAAATTAACTCTAAGAAGGATCAAGAGGAAAAAATCAAACTGACAAAATAAATGAAATAAATATGAATATGGCCTAAATGACCTGACTGGCTCATATCCAGTCAAGCTATTTGTTATGCAGGCTCTCTATTCTACTCTATTTTATATTGATAAATGCAGTTCAAGTACTCATGACATACACAGTGAACTCCAAAAACCATATCATGATGTTATTCATCACCATAAAAATGCATCAGTATCCTGATACTGCCCACCTATACTTCACACTAGATCTTATTTACTGCGCATTCTTAATAGCTGTACTCTTTAACTGTGTCCAAGGGGACTGTTTATACTGAGTGCTGTTCTCACACTCGGTCTCTCTCTTACAGGCACTCACACACTTTCCTTCCTTCTATCTATCAGCACACAGTTTCTGGTGGCTCCCAGAGGAACAGAGCAGTCTTATTTAAAGTCTGAGTTTGCTGCTGTTGGCCACCGGGACCTCGGTGCTCTGAAATGGAGGACAAGTTGTTTCCACATGGTGATTAATCAAACTCTTTCCTGTCCTCCGCTCTTCCTCCTATCTGATAAAGCAGGCTGCAGGGAAAGAGAGAGAGCACACTCTATCCTATCTCAATTCAAACATGCATGAGAAAAGAGGAAACTTAACACGTCCAGCTGCCATTTTGTGCCTTTATTTGCAGATGTGGGTTGTTTTTTTTCCAACCTGATTTCAAGTTTGACCAAACAAGACAACAGATCATACTACTGTGAGTGGATATACAGTTGAGCCACTGTGACTAGCTTCCACTTATATGCACATACACAACCATACATTCACAATCTTACTCCCTCAAAGGCAAAAAAAATGTCTCTGAAGCACAATGTATGTCTCATTTTGGCAGATTTCTTTCAAAACCCTTTTCGCAGTTAAGTTTGGCACAGTCATGTTGAGCATTAGAGCTTGGAATCAATGCTGAGCTATTTATCTGCAGTTAAAAGCTTCAGCCGGCCAAATCTGGTCATCAGCATGGCTTTCACACTTTTCCGTGTAGGCACCTCCACTGCCAGTTCGAGTAGGTTGTGCAGCTGCCTGTGATTTGCCAGTCTAGCAACATTGATGGCCACTCAGTGGCATCAACAAAATTCCAGTACAATTTCAAGGAGTCAAACTGCTTAAAGCCATTTTGAAAATTGCAATGTATTCAGGCTCTGGAATGTTGTAGTATTTAGGTTGTATGAAGTTGCTTGTGAAACAGCCAAAACTAATTCCTGGCATCTATCATTTGAAAAATCCATTACGAGTCAGCGAATGTCAGAATATCTTAAGCAAGAAATTCAAATACCTCTCTGCTTGGCAGAATTAAACACTTATTAAGACCAGCCTGTGAATTTCCTACTAGGCCAGCAAATTCCTTCACATCCACTTAGCTAAGTGTTTCGACCCTCTCGAGAACCTGTGCATAAGCCTCATTTACCAGAGGCTGTCTTTGTAGTTGAGATGGCACCAGTCCATAGTCCTTTCATAACACATTGTGAAACACCATTTCCCACAATGCAAATAATGAGCTCCCATGTCCATTACCACAATGCCATTAATGAGCTCTAGTGTCCTTATTTTGGCAATTAAATAAAAGTATACGGTCCTCCTCCAAAACTCACTGAGGTCCCCTTTTGCTCTGATTCAAACCCTCAACAGCCTGGGTTTACTACAGACACCCCTGGCGCCACTCTTTTTGGTTTGATGTCCACACAGTATGGAGGCTAGCAGGGGGGCCAGCTGTCCTCTCTTCTCCAGTCACACAGGGGCGCTGTTTTCTCCGCAGAGCAGGCTTCTAGCTGTGGTTCTATTTGTGATCCGGCTTCTAGGTGTCAGCTCCAGCTGGAGTTATGTAGTTCGTCTCTGAGCCAGGTTGGCAGAGGCTGACCCAGCCGCTTCAACATCCTCAGCAGCTCCACGTTCTGCTCCCGGTAATGCTCCGACAGGAAGGCCCGAGACTGGACATCACAAAAACGCAAGTCTAATTATGTACATGTATTTGTATGTGTGCACAACAATGAGTTTGATGAACATGCAAATACAATAATAGGTTACCATTCATGCAAGAGATACAATACAATATTGAAACTGTGAGCCTGTTTGCACCTTGAATTAACTTGCATTCCATGTAGGATCTTATCTTGACAAACCTTGGCCTGAATACACTTTTTACTACGAACGATTTAAGCCCGGCTTGAACGCTTTCATCAGCCCAGAGTGCAAGAAAGCTTATGGGGTACTCCAGCCTCGCTTATCCTTCATCTTTCGTTTTATTGGTTATTCTCTCACCTGCTACCAAGCATTCAGCAGACACATTTCCGCTGATGTAATTATATACGGACAGCAAAAACACATTCCGCTTGCACTTGTGTTGAATGTGGTCCGTCTCTGAGCACCTCTGAATGTGGTTTGAAAGTTATGATCATAATACAACATGATCCAGTCATTGAAAACACTTTAATGCAAGGTGTAAACAGGTCCCTTAAGCTCTCGGCCAATACCCGTCTGATGTTTTCTTTAAAAGCTACTAAGCTTTAAAATGAGCTATCTTTAATGAAAGCGCCTCACTTAGTGCAAACACTACAACCCCACAGGAAGAATGTATGTTATTTCAGGCTAGACATGTTACAGGACTGCATCTGTTTCATTCTTTTATTTTCCCTGTGACCCAGCATTTTTCCAAGAGTTATCACTCCAACATAAATAAATAAATAAATAAATATATATATATATATATATATATATATATATATATATATATATATATATATATATATATATATATATATATATATATATATATATGTTGGAGTGATAACTCTTGGGGAAAAAAAAAATATATATATATATAAATAATATGAAAACCTCATGCTTTTATTGAACACTCATATTTGATACAAGTGTTTATTTACTGTTTTGCTGCACTCATTTTTGTTTCCTTCAATAATTCAAAATTTTCTACCTTCTGTTCTCTCATAGCTGATTTATTTGCTTTTTCTCTGCAAACCATTTTGAGCTGCAATTAAATATATGATGCCATATAGAAGTTATTATTAAAAAGTTATTAATAACAAATGCTAAAACAGCTGATTATTTAATCTGAGGCTCTAAAGTATATTTTGGGAGAGACATATGCTGCAGCCAGGCTAACTTAAGAGTGCAACGCAATACTGTACAATAAATCTTGCAATAAATAAACTGAGGCTGTTCTGTACTTCGCCAAGCCTCTGGCCTACTTTCTGTTTAACTGTTACTGGCTGCTGTTCTATTAATGCCTGCACTGTTTAATTCAAAGAAGCTTATAATGGGTAACGCTGCTGAATAACTACAATATACCCATCAGTGCTAAGTGTTTTTAGCAGAGTCATAAATCCAGTTGATAATGTAATTGTAATGCTAATAAAAGAGAGTAAAGAAGAGAACAGATTCCATTTACTTATGACACAGCTCTAATGCGTATCTATCCTGAAACTTCACGAGGAGTCAATAAATGTGATAGATGAAGGTTAATAAAATAGTCATATTTCAAATTAATGTTCTTACAGACTTCATAGTGTTGAATGGAATATAAAGCATTAATGCAGGACAAAAGATGATTACCTCAGGGCTCATGTCTGGGTATTTTCTGCCTTTGCTCTTGCCTAAGCAGCGTGAGCGACCAGCATCCAGCCTCTGACACCAGAAACCTTTACTCTCATCAAACCTATACATACACAGACACAGAGTGAAACCTGTTTAGCTCCTAACTGCTACAGAACAGACTATCACAGCATAAAGCAGGGACGTCCCTTCATATCTGCAGAGGGCTGGTGTGGCTACAGGTTTTCATTCCAACAAAGCAGGAGGACACATGACCAGCTGAAGACTGAGACTCAACTGATTAAGCAATTGGAATCAGGTGTGTTCCTGCTTTTTAGGAACAAAAATCAACACTTCCGGCCCTTTGTGGATAAGATTGGACACCTCTGGCATAAAGACTCAAATTGGTAACTTTAATAATTTGAATGTCCAGTGTGGGCTACAGTAATGGTCATTCTTACGTCAGCGCCTGAGTGTAGTTGAAGGGTGTGACTCCCAGAAATTTCTGCACACTGTCCATCACCTGGGCTGGGTGAGACCGCAACTGGAGTCCGTCCACAATCAGAAGCTACACACACACCAGCAAAATGTAAAACAGACACACTACCACTGTAAATGTCAGTAGTTGATTTGTTGGAGCATAAACTTCAAATCAATTAAAAGTCA